CTCCGCCACCATGCTCACGCTCGGGGAGCCTGTAGCCGGGGAACATCCCCGCTTTGGCCAGGGCTACGCCGCCGTGGAGGGAGCCCCCAAACAACGCACAATCTGGGTCCGAATTGAACCCCAGGTTGTTCTTCGCGAGCTGAGTAAGGCAACTTCCTTGGGCTTTTTGGCTGTTGTAACAGTTTTCTGGACACAGACTCCCCGGGAAATCCCTCCACTCTGGATTTTCCGCTCTGGCCACCAAAGCTGCCCCACTCCCAGCCCTGTTCGGGGCGTGCGAGGCCAGCTGCTCGCCGCCAAGGCCGCTCTGATTCTTGCCAATGGAGCCGGCTGCTCTGGTTTTACATTCAACGCACTGCTTCTCCCGGGGACACTTCTCCTTGGCGGGAGCATCGAGTCGTTTCAAGACCGGTTCCCTCTGCAGCTCCCAGTACAGCAGCTCTTTCTGGATGGCCGCTAGCCGCTCTTCTTCCGTCTCCATCACCCCTCTTTTCTGCTCCACCGCCTGGTTCAGGCTCTTCTCAGCAGCGGGGCAGAAGTCCAAGAAGTAGCTGAAGATCCCCGGGCGTGAGACTTTGCTCTCAAACAGGGATTCCTCCCCGTGAGAGGGACTCATCAGCGCGTCGTCAGGCTCGTAAAACTCGTAAAGTGCGTCACCGCTGTAACTGTCTCTGGGAAGACGGTCCTTCTTGAGCTCGCCGAGCCCATCGCCGGCTTCGTCCTCCGGCCCCGGCGTCGTGGAGTCATAATAACCCTCGTCGCTATTAGGGGCGGACTCTTGCTGGTCACTCTGCGGCGTCAGGAGGTCAACGCCGTCCATTGCATCCCCCAGGTAGGGGTGGGCTTCTGCCTCGTGGGAGGCATGTGTCTCCAGGCTGCTGCTCGACACCTGAGCTCCGTAGCTCCGGTCCCCCGCCACGTTGCTGCTCCATATCTGGTGGAGGTACTCCTCCACCTCCTCGGGGATGGCCATCTCCTCCCCACCGCCCTGGTAGGTGACCAGGCAGGAGCTCCGTTTCGCAGCGTCTCTGCTGCGCTCCACAGAGATGGTGCTCTCAGTGATGTCGGGCTCAGCAATGTCATCTCCGCACCCCGTCAGGGAATCGAAGCTCTTCAGGGATGTGACATCTCCTAAGATGAGGCTCAGCAGGTCCCCAGAGTGCAGGCAGGGAGGGTCGTTGTCCACGAAGTCCGGCTGAAAGGCCTGCAGGAGACTGCCACAGTCAAACTCTGTGCAGGCAACACCGTCGCCCTCCGGTTTCACATCCAGATCGTCCCCCTTCCCCGGCACCACCACCGCGTCGCCCTCAGAGCTGCCTTCGTCAGCCACAAGACAGACGGGCTCAGCAGCCTCACCGCCATTGCAGCTGTCCTCCGAGCTCCCCGGGCACGCCGCGGCAAGGTGGGCAGGTCCCAGCCCCCTTCCCTCCGCAGCCCCTCGGCTCTCCGCTCCCACCCCGAGAGCTTTGCCGGCCTCCTCCGCATCCCCGGTCCACTCGGGGAGCTCTGCTTTCTCGCACTCGGCAGCCTTGCTCTTCCGGTGACGCCGGATGCTGTTAAAAAACCCTTTCAGGCCTTTTTTGGGTCTGGGCAAGGAGGACTTGTCTCCATTGGGCTTCTTCTCACAGCCCTCGATGCTGCCGGGGGGAGAGCTGTCCTGGTGGCCGAAGTCAAACTTGGCGGTGGTGTCTGCAGCCAAGTGAGCGCTTTGGGAGCTCGGCAAAGGGCACGGACGCGAGTCTCTGCTCCCCTCCGAGGGGCTTTCTGGCTGCGCCGTGCCATCCTTGTCATACACCGCGCTGCTGAGCCCGTCGTGCGTCTTACATTTACTGAGGCCCTTTTTGGAGGCTGCTTTCCCCTGGCCTTTGCTTCTGCCTCCGAAGAAACTGGGCAGCGTACAGATGCTCCTCTTCCCTCCGCACAGTTTGAAAGCCGTTTTCTTCAGCTTGCCGGGGGGC